CGCCGCCGCCCCGCGTGCGAGGAGTGCGGGAAGGCGTTCCGGGACGGGGCCGCGCTGCGGCGGCACCGGCGCGTCCACACCGGGGAGAAGCCGTTCGGCTGCAGCGAGTGCGGGAAGAGCTTCCGAGCCAACTCTAGCCTGGTCATCCACCGGCGCATCCACACCGGCGAGAAGCCCTACCCCTGCTCCCGCTGCGCCAAGAGCTTCGTGTCCCGCTCGGCGCTGCAGAAGCACCTGCAGAGCCACCTGCGCAGGGAGCTGCTGGAGGGGGCGCGGCCCTGAGCGGGGGGGTCCTGCCGGGGAGGCGCCGACCCCCCGGGATCCATCGCTGGGCTTTGGGTGCCCACCTCAGGGACTGACGGACAAACTCTGGGTGCCCGTCCCAGGGGTCAGTGGATGGAATTCGGGTGCCCGTCCCAGGGCTGTACGTCCGACTCCTCTTTTAGAGGCTAAAAAGGCTTTTTTTAGCTTCCCACCGCCAAAACCATTCCAGTATCCGAAGCGGAGCTGGGGGGGTCTCTGTTCCCCCCAGGGTTGCTCCATCTGGATCAAGTTTTTTATGGATCCGGCATGTCCCAAACCCGCGTTTCCTTCCCCAGTTCCCCCTGCTCCAAAATGAGGTGAAATAAAGCGGAATTGGGATCTTAGGAAAGCGGGGTCCTGATTTGATGGCTCGGGATTGGGGTGGGAATGGGGACCCCTGTGGGAACGAGCTCCCCTTCCCCAGAAACCCGTCCCGGGGGGTCCGGAGGGACCCCGGGCTGGGGAGGGGTCGGGAAGGTGGCACCGGCTGAAATTCGGTGATGCCGATCCCCGGTTTCCACCGGGATGCGTTCCTGGGGAGTGCCAAAAATGGGCGGGGGCTCCCCCAGATGTGGCGTCCCCCCCAAAATCCCGCTGGCAGCGGTGGGATTCGAACCCACGCCCCCGCAGGGACTGGAGCCTTAATCCAGCGCCTTGGACCGCTCGGCCACGCTACCCCGGGGGGGCGGGGCCGCGCCCCGGGATGGGCCCGGAATTGGGGAATTCGGGCAAATCCATCGATAATCCATCAATAACCCATCGATAATCCATCGATAATCCATCAATAACCCATCGATAATCCATCCATAACCCATGGATAATCCATCGATAATACATCAATAATCCATCAATAACCCATGGATAATCCATCAGTAATCCATCGATAATCCATCAGTAATCCATCAATAACCCATGGATAATCCATTGATAATACATCGATAACCCATCGATAATACATCGATAACCCATCGATAATCCATCCATAACCCATCGATAACCCATCGATAATCCATCAATAACCCATCGATAACCAGAGGCACGGGGGAAGGAGGGATCGATTAAGGGAATGAATGAAGGGACCGGGTGTTCCTTCAGACCCCGCTCCCCTCAAACCGCTCGATGATCCAAGGACAGGGAAAAGCCAGGGGACAATTCCCGGTGTCCGGTGGAATCCGGGCGCTCCCGCCTTTCCCTGCTCCTCCCGGGCGCTCCCTCCGGAGCCGGGGTCCCCTCGCGTCCCCTTCCCACCGTTGGGAACGAGGGACTCTCCATCCTGGGAAAGAGATTTTCCTTCTTTTCGCTGCTTTCCTTTGGTTTGGATCGGAACCGTCCCGGAAGCCGGGAAGTGCCCGACATCGGCTCAGCAAACGCGATCCGGGCCCAGACAGAGCGAACCCCCCCGAACCCGACACCTTCTGCTGGGAAAAACATCCCGGGAAATCATCCAGGGGAAACATCCCGGGAAAACATCCAGGGAAAAACATCCCGGGAAAAACATCCCGGGAAATCACCCAGGGAAATCACCCAGGGAAAAACATCCAGGGAAAAACATCCAGGGAAAAGCATCCAGGGAAAAACATCCTGGGAAATCATCCCGGGAAAAACATCCATAGAAACCATCCAGGGAAATCATCCCGGGAAATCATCCATAGAAACCATCCCGGGAAATGATCCCGGCAGCGCCGCCGCTTCCCTGGTCCGGAGCGGACCCTCGCCCCCCTCGCCTTTTTCGCGCTGCAGTTTTGGGGAGCCCCCGGGGCGATGGCAGGGAAGGACAGCTGGGAAATGCTGCCCTGTTTAAGGGAACGGCGGTCCCTGGCCCCGGCTCGGGGTTAGGGTTTAGGGTTAGGGGCTTTATCCATCCCGGATAAAGCTGGGACCGGAGTCATCCGTCTTTTCCAGACGCGCATTTCGGGCAGGACGGGCAGAAACAGCCCCGGGGCTGAGCAGCGGCTGGAAATCACCGGAGGGATCCAGGACGGCGCCAGAATTCCCGAGATTTTAGGAGAAAGCAGCTGGAAGAAGGAAGCCGCGCTCCGGAGAGTTCTGCAGGGTTTTTATTGCCGGGGGAGGATGCCGTGGTCACCCCCGGGGGACACCAAGGCTGGGCAGGGAGGGAAGGACGAGGGGCTCAGCAGGGAATGTCCGGGGCTCCAGCAGGGATCCGGGAAGGGGAGGATGGCAGGAACCCACCCGGAGGGAGCGGCCCCGGTCCCGGCCGGGCTCCGCTCAGGCCTCGGCGGATCCCGGCTTTGGAGCTCCTGACGGGGCTCATCCTCGGGGCGCCGAGCGGAGCTCCGGCCTTCCCGTCCCCTCCGGCCCCTCCAGCCGCCTGTCCATCCTCGGGGCAGAGCTCCCTGAGTTCCGGGCTG